GGGGTTAGCACAAAAGCTAAAGTAGCTGTCAGGATGTGGGGTTTGGTGTGTGCCCTAGTTGTAGGAAATACAGCACACCATTCAAGCCGTTTCAAAGCAAAGAGGATGCTCTCTTCCTCTGCCTTGTAGAGGTGGTCTGCGGTCTGTTGGTTGACCAACAAAAGTGTGCGAAACCAATAAAATGACTTTTTCTCACACCTTTTGCAAACTAATCTAATCCGCCATCTGTAAGGTATTTAAATCTTACAGTTACTTCCTTCTTCCATGAATGTAACTAGTTCATCTTGTATACCACAAAGTGTGCACGGCAGCAATTCAAATTTGCATGTTTTTTTTTAAGTTAGTTCAAGTAAATTTACGATAAAAATTACTACTATTTTACTGGCAATCTACTAGGTCCAGCTAGAGTCTGTGAAAGACACAGAAGTAGGTTGCTATGGTCTTTTACACACTTCTAGTATGACTAACAGACAGATTGCTGGTTGATTGATCTTCTGCTTCCCTGTGTTGCGCAAATGTTAAAGACTGCTCTAAAAAGAATGTTAATGTGTTCAACGTAGCTGATAAACTAGGTCTTTAAATGCCCCCTTTCGTTCCAAAAACGTGTTATGCAGAGTACTCTCATGTATGAACCATCTTGAAAGTATCTATATTTATACTGTAGTCAGATTTAGTAAAATACTGCTTACACATCCATGGCCCCTCATCACATTATGATAACACACAGGAACACCCCACACTATGTATTACCAATGAGGCGCAGACATATGCATGTGAAAAGACTTGAAGAAAAGGTCGATGTAAGCAGATGCTGACCACTGGTAAACTAATGAATGTTAGCCTGAATTTAAATGAGTATGAGAAACTCGCACTTAGCATGCTTGATGTTAAGTTTCATTTAATCTCATTGCACACGGTATGACTGTGAGAGTTTCAGGTAGAATCATCAACGTCAATTTTGTATCCGAGTGTGTCTAATGGTATATGGCAGTGTGCGTATGTATAGCAAGCAAGCAAGATCCGGGGACGCCACGGGACAGGGCTTCTAAACCACAGCACACTTCGAACTTCTTTAAATTAATCATTCACATTTTGCATACTGAAAAATGGGCAGCAGTTTGATTGAACTCATTTTGATTAAAAAAAAAAAAAGTGTGAGAGATCAACATGTTAAACTGCCAGTTCTGAGGTGATCCAGCCATTATTCAAACTTATCTTATACTTTTGCACTGCAAGCAGTAGGGTTCATCAATGTAAATGAATCTATTGAAGCATCTGTTCTGCTGAGAATTTACACTTCTTTTAATATTTTCAAAAGCTCAGAGGAATTGCACACATTTTACACCATAACAGCAGCAAACTGTAACACACTTGTTAAGCTACAGTCTTTCACATGTACATGTGGAGGGTACAGTGTTATAAAACTGGATTTTTTAAGCTGATTTTCTCAATGAATATATCATAAAGGCAAGTTTGTATTTGCTCTAAGGATCTAAAACTCTAATAACAGAGTGTAATACTAAGAACAAAGTTTCTATCAATCAGGAGTGGTAGTAGCAACTGTGGTTAGCACTCTGAAATTAAAGAAATCCCATAACCACAATGCCATACGGTTCAAACCACCAAGTTTGTGCTGAAGGTTGTACAAATAACATGTTTATCCAGCAGTCCCAGACAGACTTCCGCTTCCAGTTTGTCATGCAGGAGAGATGACCAGCACCGAATTTCCAAAATTATGTTGCGGACCTAACATATTCACATGTTGGGTTTTTACACAACACGGGAGAAAACAAAAATGTAGGTCATCACACTGACTCAGTTACTCAGCATATCTAGAAAAGAGAAATGCCTGACTATGTTTCTCTCTGTCCACAGGTGATTTTCTAGGAATCATTTTAGCTTAATCAGAAAACTTCATTGGCGTTTCATGCCTAGCACATTTTCTCAAGGAAATGAGTCATCAGCGGCGCCATTTTTTCGCATGTCAGTGTGTAGGCAGATCGGTCCACTAACGCCGACGACTACAAATTGAAACCGCAAACCTAATGAGTGCACGTGTTTGAAGTTGGTAGTGGGGGATGGGGGAAGGGTGGTTTAAAATGCTTCAAGTGGAACTACAAAAGCAAGGAAATTGTACCAATGTCATTTAGAAGAAATGGGTCATTTCAAAGGTTGTACACAAGTGATTTACAATAACTAACCTGGCAGAAATTTGCTTAGAGCAACAGAGAGGTCGAGATGAGTATCACTTCACCTTTGTTCTAGGTAATCTTACCTTACCTACCTTACCAATTCTAGAAACTGAAAACTATATAACACATGAAAATTTCACTCGATTTATGGTTTGGCATAATAGCCCATAGACGAGAAATAGTTAAAGATGAGTGGGCTTATGTATTTTAAAACAAAGATAAATTTACGTTTAGGATTAAAGAAAACAAGCTGCTCACCAACACTTTGATTGTTCCCAACAAATCCTGTCAATCCTGTTACACATCGAACACATTGTTATCACTCTAATTTAAGCTTGCTTACAACCTTCTGAAAAGTTTATATTTCCCCCCGCCATTTAAGCGTTTTTTTAATGAAGACATAATAAAGAAGAAAGTATCATTAATGAAAAATGTAATCCATAAGTAATAAAGTATTAAGTTTAATTTATCTCTACCTAATCCTCAGTTTTGCATTTGAGCGCAATGGCAGCCACCGACTGTGTCCAGGTCTGGGTCAGCCCTTTTGCATTCAATACAATACTCTACTTAAATACTAGAAGTTCCTCCAAACTTTGAGCTTGATTTGTGCTTACATTAGGGCCGGGCGATAATTTGAAGCATGTGCGGTAACGATATATATCACGATATATTCTTTTCTTCTGTATAACGTATTTTCCACACTATAAGGCACACTTAAAATCCTTTAATTTTCTCAAAAATCGAGAGTGTGCCTTATGTATGAATTCTGGTTGTGCTTACTGACCTCGAACCGATTTTGGAGTGCAGAAATCTGTTTTAAAAAAATGTTTTAGTACAACTTTGGTAAGCTGCACAGCTTGATGGATTGTCAGAACATTGCGGCTGCCGTAGTGAGGAGCTTCGCGGAGTAATCTGGGTCCAAAACTCCGTCCCTTCAGATCCCAAAGTCAAATGAACACTGAAAGTTAAAAACGGTCTAAATTCTTTCATCTTTAATAAAATCATCAGCGTTGCTGCTTTAACAGGTGTAACAATTAAGTTTAACATCCAGGCATCCATGAAAACAATATTTATTAAATTTAACGGAGTTACAAGTTAACAGGAAGTTAGCTCGCTAGTTTCCACCTAAACCTGACAGACCATGTTCTGACTGAGAGATTTTTGAAACTAATTAAAAGGTACAGCTCTGCTACCACTTCCAACATAAATGAAGACAGAAAACTAAACAGCAGTGGTGTTTGCAGGGTTACTGAAGCTGGACTACCTGGTATATAATGTTGTGCTACGTGATTGCTAGCGACACAGCTATGTTAGCATAACATTAGCACAGTGAAGCTGGAGGATGAACGCCAACTTTTTTTCCCCCACTCGATAAAAGTTAACGTGAGGGATTCTGGTGGTTAGGGACAAATGCAATCGCATAGCAGGATGCTATACACGGGGCAAACTTTAGTCAGGAGAACAACTGAGATTATTCATCCACAATACGAGGTTAGTTATTAATATACTGCAACAACATGGGAAAGAACAGCTGCGAGAAAATTCAACATTAATGAATCAATGTTATGGAAGTGGAGGAAGCGCAGTTTTTGGCTTTCCCCATATTTCAAAAGTGCTTCATCACTTTGCTATGACTGTCGCCCGGCATAATTTGCAGATGATACTGGTTGTAGCTGCTGCGATGCTTTCGACCAAAACAGGCACAGCTTGATGACATCATCAACACGCGCTATCGCGGTATAGTCAAAATCTCTATCGTTGGCCAAATTTATATAGTTTCTGTCGTATATCGTTTATATTGCCCAACCCTAGCTTACAGTGGGGCAAAAAAGTATTTAGTCAGCCACCAATTGTGCAAGTTCCCCCACTTAAAATGATGACAGAGGTCAGTAATTTGCACCAGAGGTACACTTCAACTGTGAGAGACAGAATGTGAAA